CAGAAACCATAGGGGGTGTCCCTGAAATTAGGCCATTTTCCGGTGGGCGTTAGTGAAATTTACCCTAAAAATAATATTATTTTTTTACTTTAATCAGTTGACAAAAAAAAAAAAAACTAAAGCTATTAGTTAAAGTGCCCACCGAGGAAAAAATTTCAGGCTCCACCCCTATGGTTTGGTGTTTCGTGTTGAGGTCGGGTTTGGGTTGGGCTCAGGTTGAGAGTTTTATAATTTGGGTTGGGTTTGGGTTAGACTCTCAACCTGTCCAAGTTGCAGCTCTATTTTACACACTCCCTCCTCTTATTGGCCTTGTCCTCGAAAGTTTACAAGCCAGTAAGTCAAAAACATCTATTACACAATCATAAATATATGCGTTTCTAATTAATTTCTTAGTGATACACAAGTCGTTATTCCAAGTATCAAACCTAGGATGGTCTACATAATAACTCACTGGCCTGCTACCATTTTCACCACCTTCACCCAATTTCATACATTTTAGTCCTTTATTAATGACTCCAAATTATCGTGAACTTCATTTCTTCTAATTCGACATTTCTCAATTTTTTGGTGCCCCATTTAACCCGCAACCGAGGGGATAGTGGGGCGAACTGAAAAGCTTCATGGGCAGAATAAAACCATAAATAGTCGGATCTAATAACAAAAGCGTAAGCTGAGTCATAATTAACATCTTCTATGCCATGCAAAATCTTGATACTGACCTGACATCTTACTAGACACCAATTACCTCGCTTCAATCCATCCAAGGGGTATCTTGGAGTATCAGTGTATTGAATGTTTGACTACTACGTTCTATCTCAATTCTGCACACCACATACATACATATTTTACAAAATAACAAGAACAAGATGAGATATGTAGTAGGTTAGTAGCATATCATAAACCACCCCACTTAGCCAACTCTCACTTAACATGGATAGATATTGACATTAAGGTACCCCAAAACAGATTCAACCACCATTTGATTGCCATCTCAAAGCTTGCTGTTTTCTCCTTATTTTTCCATTATTTCTCTTCTTTCTTGTCTTTCTCTGTATGCATTTCTAACCCAAATTAGCATATCTGCATTCTATCCCATTAACATTAGAATTTGTTCACAATCACATCTCTCAAAGCCTTAAAGGATTCTGGGTGTACAAATGCCCCATTTCCTAATGCACAATCATTCACCCCATGTGTTCACTTCCTAGAAATAGACAACTTTCATTTTTTTCCATTTCTTTCGGTTCTAATCTTCTAAGTCTTATACAATTCTCACTCTAAGGACACTTCACATGTCACTGAGCCAACAAATAAAGATGTTCGACTGGCCACCCATGCAAACATTTTCCTTTTTGTCATTTTCTCTTCCTAAGGTTAATAATTCTTTTTCTATTTCTTGATAAATTATAATTGGACCTCAAATAAAATGAGCACAACTAAAAATTACACATAGATCCCGACATTATTTTCCACCTATTGTTCTGAGGCAAAATGTTACGATGTGCCCTGCTTCACACGTTGCCTTGCGAGTTGCGCTTAGTCTCAAGATGACCTTGGCGCCTTATGCCTCAAATAATCGTGCCACCTATATATTTTCAGCCTTTATCTTGACATTTTATTGGATTCAATTTTAAGTGCTTGAAGCAAACTTTCTTGTCAACATTGATAATTTAAATTAATGCTAGGGTTAAGGACCACATTGGTTGAATATGTATACTTTTGAGACAAAATTGACAAAATTTGAATGTTAAAGGCCAATGTTCTACTAAAATATTTGACTCGGTAGGGATTTGTTAGGTGAGACTGAGAACTATTTCATGTATGCGGCATTTGGTTTTTAATGGATTGGGTAGAGGTGGGAGGAATGTACTCTTTGACAATGTGTTTCCTTGGCCATTTTGTGGGTTATTTAACTAGAAAGAAATTCAAGGATATTTGAAGACAAAAGGGATGTGGTGGACGTGTGAGATCAGATCTATTTCTTAACATCCTATGGGCCTCGGTTAGGAAGAATTGTAAGAATGTCATTTTGTTGTATTACAATGAGTTAGACAATATCAAGTGGATGTTAATGTGTGTTAGGATGTTACTTTGATGTGCAATTTGTTTTTCAGGTTTTGCATGTTATCGGGCTGGACTTCTTGTCCACCTTTACTTGGATAATGTAAGATTTGGTTTCATCTATTAATAAAATCATGTTTGTCGTCCACGAAAAAGTTATACTTATGGTAAACGGTTGAGGCGGGGATAAGCTTACTTCTTCACAAGTAAGGATCAAAATATCGATTCGGTGTATTGTTTCGATCACCTAGGAAACGGAAACGTTTTGACGTGTTTCGAAAAAGTTTCGACTCGTTTCGGAAACATAATGAAAAAAATAAAAAATTTAAGAATTATTTTTCTAAAACATTGATAGAAATATATCAAAATATCTTAAAATACCTTGAAATATTCTAAAACAATTGTGCAAATATATTAAAATATTATAAAGCATTTAAAAACATTATGGAATATCTCAAAATATTAAAATTTTGATTTCATCACTGTTTTGTTTCGGTCTCCTTAGAAACGGAAACGTTTCGGACATTTTGACCATTTCGAAACGATATTTTGATCCTTGTTCACAAGCTTATCCTCCCTAAAAAAATCGACCCTATAGCGCTAGCACTTCGTGTTGGTTCTATTCCATCCCAATCCAAGATAAGTGGCTAATACTAATTTAATAAGTGAAGTAGTCATTGTCTAAACAATTGGCTCAGACACCAGGTTGCCAGTGTTTGCCCATTTTGTCTCGCCCTAAATGGAATGACTCTCTTAGTTACACTACGCTCCTAACTCGAGTCCTCACATCTGCCGACCATTGATAATGTATTTCACGCCTTAGTGAATACCAGAAGGGACAGTCCTAGCTGAGTGAACCATGGCCGTCCAAGGAGAAAGTTGTAAGTGGTGGGGACTTTCGAATTCACTTAAGAACGGAGATCCTAGCCTGAGTATTTTCCAAGTGTCCCAAGAGATTATACTCTTTCCCAGTTTCAATCACAACCGTCCTTTCCGAGGCATTTGGTTGTTGTGACTACTGCTGCTGTTGCTGCTGTTGCATTTTGACGCTGAATTATTTAGATCTGATAGAGTCTCGCTCAGTAAAGAGAGTTATAGATTCGTAAGATCATGATAGAGTCCCTTTACTCTATAAGGGTGCTAGTGTGCTACAACTAGTAGAGCAACCTACAAAAAAGGCTAGTGCACTAAGCCTATCAAATCTTGAAGCTGTGCACTTTAGAGCAGTTTGTAGCCGTGGGGAGTCGATAAGCAAATTCATGTAAATGTCTACTTGCCGGGCTGCCCACTTTAACACTAGGAAGTTATAGATACTATAACGAAACTTCGTGAGAAGGTATCTTGATAAATCTATGAAAAGGGTCCCAATAGGAAGTTTGATGTTTTACTACCCATAACAACTATCTTGTTGGACGCAGTACCCATACTGGAGATGACAATCAAGGGTGGCTCTATCAATCGCAATAGAGCCAGCATTGGTCACAAGAATCTTGAGAGGGTTTACTCCTAACACCAAGTATATGGTGTTACCAATTAGATAATGTCGCATCTTCTCTACTGCGAACATGAGAGTGAGGCATTCTTTTTGAACTGGTTATACCGGTGTTCTGCGCCAACTATCATTCAACTTAGGTAATATAAAGTGCGTTCTTTGCCGTCGTCATTCTTTTGGGCTAGTATTGTCCCAAGTGAATGATCCATGGCGCGTGTGTATAATAAAAAAGGCCGACCCGGGGCGGTGGGTGGGTTTAGGCTAGGACTGGTGATTGTGTTAAGTATTGTTTAATGCTCTAGAATGCATTGTCACAAGCTTGATCCCATACTTTTTTGAGCCCTTTCTTCATTAGGCGTGAAAACGGTTGACACCTTCTAGATATTTTAGTTGAATCTTCTGATATGGGCCAAGCATCCCTTGTAGCTGTGTGAGCTCCCGCAGAAGTTAGTCGGTGGTTTCATTTCAAGGATGACTTTTGTTTTGGCCGTGTCAACTATGATTTCGTCTTTTGTAATAACAAATCTCACTTAGGGACCATTAGTGTAATTTTCCCATATTTTTCATAGGAAAGATGACAATTTTATTAATGGCAAAAGTAAATGAGAGGACAAGAAGTCTTTAAAATGAAAAAAAAAGAAGATAAAAAAAAGAAATAGAAAAGCTACAAGCTTACCATAAGAGACATAGCAAAATGCTTGAGTCTCAACAATGGTGCCCACTTGAGCCCAATCAACTTTAATAAAAAAGAATTACATTCCTTCAAATTCTTTAGACGTGAGAGTCCAAAGAGAAGCCATGAAACTGATTTTTTCCCATAAATCTTCCCAAGAAGTCTCTTTCCTAAAAAATTCAGCCATTCTGTTTTTCAACCACACCACCCAAAACAATGCCAAGACTGCCCAACCACAAAAACAGTTAGGTTTGTTACTTGAACCAAAGCCTTCAAAATGATCCTTAAAAATCGAAACATAATTCTTAGGGCACACCCAAGGGATTTCAAATATACCCAAATGCCTATTCCCCAATTTACTGTATTTTTGCCCCCAAAACCAAGAATGGGGGTTATTTTTGTCCAAAATGTTCAAGAATATGCTTATGCTCACCTAGGATACAAACATCACCATAGGACCCATGGAAACATGACCAATGTCTAGTGCAACCACTATCGATCTTGCTAAACTTGACAAAAAACAAAAACTAGTATTTTTTGGTTGGCAAGTGGTTCTGAAAGTTGAAAGAAATCCTTTTTTTGGGTAAGTCTTAATGTTTAAATAAATCACAAAAAATTTATTTGATGGACATCAAGAGGGCAATATTGCCATACTAAATATCCCAAAACCTAAAGGAGAAATAGATAAAATGCCTGTTAACCCCTAGACTGAATTGTACATTTAGTGAAGGCAAGTTTCTATTTTCATGGCTGGGTTTTTTGTGTTGAGGGGGCATGCATTTGTTCATGGTCGATATTTGGTTTACATCTAGGAATGTTATATCTAAGATATCCAAAATTCCAAATACTGTATGCTGGTGACTTACATATTGGACTAAACCCTCAATCAATGGCCGATGGTTTTTCATTCTGAATGGTGGTGATGTTATGTTAACTTTCGTGTGTAGTTACTGATGTTGAGCAGACGATTAGCATAGTTACTTGTTTCATCCTGTCAAATCTGTGAATTGTCTGTGACAATATTATATCTGATCACTTGCTGCATAAACTTTCTGATGTTTATATATGTGAGGAGATGCTAATTGTTTTGTTTTGTTGTGCAGAGTGCACTTCCCCAGAGAGGTGGTGAAGTGAATCTTACGTTGGGAGGTATTGACTTGAATAATTCTGGGAGGTATGGGTGGTTGCTGCTTGGTGTTTTTTCAGAGAAGTATTAGTATCCATATGAGTGATAGCAACTCTTGATTTTGCAGTGTTGTTGTCAGAGAAGATAAAAAGCTGTTGACTGTACTGTTTCCCGATGGGCGTGATGGGAGAGCATTTACACTTAAGGTGCTTCATTGAGCAGACCTTCTTTGTGCTTCCTTTCTTCTATTTTATCTTTACATATACTTCTTCCCGATTTAGGTGCAAACTGCAAATTGAGTATCTTGGTTTTGACATTGCTTTCGAGATTTCTAACTTTAATGCCTTTGTCTTTTTCCCTTTCGTTTTTAAATTTCAGGCGGAGTCATCAGAGGACTTATATGAGTGGAAGACAGCCCTAGAACATGCTCTTGCACAAGCACCAAGTGCCGCTCTTGTGATGGGACACAACGGGATTTTTCGAAATGACACTAGTGATACAATTGAAGGGTCTTTCCATCAATGTTTGTCCATCTTCATGCTACATGTTAACTTATTTTATCATTATCATTCTCTTAATTTTGCGTTACTTCTTTGTTATCTATAACAAAAATTGTCTTACTATGTTTTTACTTGGCTTATATTCATTTTTATTCGTTACTGAAGATGTACCTCTTTTTTCACAAAATTTCACTGGATTTTGACTGTTTTATCCAGGGAGGGATAAACGCCATGTCAAATCTTTGGTGGTAGGACGGCCAATTTTGCTAGCACTAGAAGATATAGATGGAGGCCCATCCTTCCTTGAGAAAGCTCTTAGGTTTCTTGAGAAGTATGGTAAGCTCTTATTTAAACTTTGCTGGGATCTTTGTTCTGGAGCTTCACTTTGCTGGTAGATATTTGATGATGGAACCATTTGAGGTCCTGCTATGTAAAATTCTTTTGGCAATGTACTTCCTGGCTTTGATTTTTGTTTTTGTTTTTCTGGTTTTAAAAGTTTCTCTAAATGCAACATAGTTGACATCCTTTATGACATCCCAAATAGGGTAGTAATTAGTTTCCCCACTATTTGGTGAGCAATTTTTTTTTTTTAATTGTTTTACATATATACATATTTTTTGGGATGGGGTGTTCAGTGTTTAGAGAAGCGTTGTGTTTTTTTATCTTATGATGTCCATGTTGCATAGAGCATAAGGAACTGTTTCGGGGTGTTTACAATTTTTTTCCAGTAATGTTCAATACAATTTGATTATTTATACGGGGCAGTTAAAATTATAAATTATGATATACTATTGAGTTACTGTAGTCTATAATTCTTTCTCATCATAAACTATTCCTGTAGGAACTAAAGTAGAAGGAATATTGCGACAATCTGCTGATGTCGAGGAGGTAGACCACAGAGTTAAAGAATATGAACAAGGTATTTTACTTTCTTGAATATAATATGAATAATTTGGTAAATACTGCACTCCTACTCCACATGCATTGAAGGATGTTGTAAGGACATAATTCACCTGTTATATTATTGTACTTTATTAATTAAGAATCCAATATTTGGATTTATGCTCATAGAAGTAGTAAAAACAAGAATTGCTGAGTGTTCCTCATTTAAGTGATTTGACATATAAGTTAAGTTTATTTAAGATGCCAAAATTCAGGTTTACTATACAGTGCAATTCATTATTATGCACAAAATCTATATGTAACTTTGAACTTAAAACATGCAGATGATGAAATTATGGGAGCCTTCTCATTACGAAAAAAAAGAGTGCCTCTAGTTTCTGTTTTGGTCCGTTACAATTATGATGACTGTTACACATTTCTATGACATGGAAATTATGGGGGAGTAATTCGAATAGGACTTGGTTGACGGTGTGCTCCCCATTTAGAGAAGGGCCTTGGAATAAATATCGCCCTTTTAAGAAAGCTGTCTTGGGAGATGTCTATGGATGTATGCCATAGAAAAGGCTAGGTTGAAATGGGGGGTTAGTGAGTGGAAATATGGTAGTAAGTTTGAGGGACGACTAGATGAGAGATCCTCATGGGTGTGGGGGTCATGGAAAAGCATATAGAGAAGTTGTTTGGAATGCTTTAAAGTCAATGGATTGTGTTTTTCCATTATGCTTAGTGCGAGACTCTCTTCTCCAGGACACTTTGCCATATTAGTTTAAGATGTTGTTGATAGGGATGTTGCATATAGTCTGAGGGTTTGTTTGGAATCCCAGATTGGTTGATTTTTCGAGGATTGGGAGTTGGCACTTGTTGGCCCCTTTGTAGGCTGGGCTTTTGAGGGAAGGGGAGGTACAATTGCTCATGTGCAAGGAGTAACAAGTTGGTATAAACATATAAGGTGGCCTTGGTAACCAAGAGATAAACTTTCAAGGAAAAGTGTATGGTAGATGCATGACCATCTTGTTTAAAATTCAGAGTTCACCTTCTAATTCATTGTTATGTGCACCTACCGTGCTTTAAAATTTATCAAGCAAGTGGGATCTTTGAGCTCTAGTGCTAAGTTTATCTAGGGGAATTTTTTTGCGCTCGTCTTGTAATGTGGGAACTTTCAGGTTACATCATACAACATGGCTTTGAAGGGTAACCATGAAATAAACATCCTATTGAAGAGAATATGATAGGCAAGCTTTATTGAAGGTGTAATCTTTGTGAATGGTAGCTTTGAGGCTGGGGACATGGAAGAACATATGGAGATTTTGTGCAAACCACTTTTTACAAATTAGCTTTGTTGTGGGGAATGGTTAGAAGATCACCGTTTTGCATGATGCTTAGTGCGGGACTCTCCTCTCCATATTATTCCTGATTTGCTTAGTGTGGCCACATTTATCTTGAGTTGTTATGTGGTTGTGGTGTAAAATCCCAGATTTGGTAGAGGTTTCAAGGACCGGGATTTGGAGTTTGTGGATGTGTTTGTGAGCCTCTTTGTTGGTACTTGGTAGGTTAGGGAGAGGTGGAGGAGCAGTTATGTGGAGATGTGCAAGGAATGGGATCTCTTGGTCAAACCATGTAACATGGCCTTAAAGGGTAACCTTGAATTAAACTTTCCTTTCCATGGATGGGTAGTGGTAGGCTACTACGGCTCTATTGAGTGAGTTGTTCTTGGGTGGATGACAGTTGGGGAGGTTATTGTTACTTGGGACGTTTCTGGCAGAGCAACAACATTATAGTAAGCAACATGACAAGGAGCAGATGAAACTATTAGCTATTTACTCTTGCCCTAAAAGGTCACTAGGGATGTGGACTTAGTCGCTCTTTTGGTGGGTCTGATCACCTTATTCTGGATGATCAATCTACTTGACAATGAAATAAGAAAACCTCGTTAGATATTGGTTTGCTTTGGTTGCAACTTCTTATTTGGCCTTATATATTGGCATATGTAAAGAGAGATTGTATCCAATGTCAAAAGGTTATGGCCACCCAAGTTTGATTAATATTGTTCAGGGACTCTCCCCGTAATTGTCAATTGGTTTTGAGTTGGATGTTTTAAGAAAGTATCAAAGTTGGGCCTTAGGTTGTTAGTAGGCTAAGTCTTACACTCATTCGAATGTCTTGGTATGCATGTTTGTCAATTTGTTTGTTAGTTCACGTGCAAGTTTGGATCTCACATGAGAGAGGGTGTAAAGAGAGTTTGTAGCCCACATCCCATATTAATTGGTCACTCAAGGCTGGATTTTATTGTTGATTGGGCTCTCCAATCATCATCAATTGGTTATTAGTTGGATGCTTTAACATTGTACAATATATTTATGTATAATGCTGGCAATGAGGTGATCCTCTCGTTTTTAACAGGCAAAACTGAATTTGGTCCCGATGAGGATGCTCATGTGGTTGGTGACTGTGTTAAGGTAATTTTTCGTACCTGATTCAAATTTGTGACTATTAGGTTAATGCTTCTCTTTGTTAGCGTGAATTAATATTTGTGGAGCTTGTTCATGTGCAGCATGTTCTTAGGGAGCTACCCTCGTCTCCTGTTCCTGCTTCTTGCTGCACTGCGTTGTTGGAAGCCTATAGTAAGTTTTGCTATTTCTATTGTCGAATATAACTTGATGATGTCATGGTAATGTCATTTGCTGACTTGTTTCAAGGTCAATCAGTTTTCAGTTCTTTGATTCCTTTCATCCTCTGTAACTCTACTGGTGGGGTCTGTCACATTGATCTTTCTGTAGTTATGAGATTCCCATGTATTTATTTTTCTTTGCATGGTAATTGTTTTTTCTGTTTTGATGATTTTTAGCAATTTTTTTAAGAATGTATTTCATCAATTTAAGTGCTTATATAATATAGCTCGGACTTTGCTTTACACATGATGCAACAAGCGGATGACGGGATGAGATCATGAGACAGAACAATAACAAGAAGTTGCGACTCTTATTTAGGGCATTAAGTTTTCTTGATGAAAAATAGCTTGTCTTGCGTAGAGTAACTTTGACAATATGACCTATACTTATATTTCTAGGTTATAGTTTCCAATTTCAAATTGTGGGTTCCAATTTGACAATAATCTCTGTATGCAAATAATGCCAAAGGTTATGTCTATACCTAGCTAGGAAGCATTGTTGGACACATGTCGGACATGCACACGGGTTGGACATAGTCGGACACGTGTCTGAAACGGAGAGAAGCGTTTTGAATATTGAACTCTGTTGGACACGACAAGGATATGACTAGATTTTTTTTAAATAAAAACAACTAATAACTACTAAAAGGGGTGTGATTTCTATTTTTTTTTGTTGTGAACTTAATATATTATGAATGTCAATGGATGTAATGACGTTTGATAAAACTTGTGAATATTTTGGTTTATTTCAATTTTAATAAAAAAGTTGACATTTGCTGCGTCTTATTTTTAATATTGTTATAAAATATACTTTATTTTTAATATATTGATAGCTGTGTCTTTGCCACACCTGTGTTCTATATTTTCAAATTTTGTTGTATCTCTGTGTCCTTGTGTCCGTATACATACTTCCTAGATACCTAGTTTACCCGTGGCAGCATCTTGATTAACGGAGACTAAACTGGGTAATGACCCTTTTGTATGAGATACTTTATTTTCATTGTTTTACCTCAGCATATCATTGGGGTATACGCAGTCCGTTTATTTTGTTAGAAAATAAGAATCCCCATTTCTTGGAATGCTAAAACGGCACATCGAATGCTGTTAAACATCTGCCAAAAGATTTGTTTGTGCGTACTTTTCTAATTGAATCCTGCTCCAGGTTCTATTGAGTATTATCTGCATTTAATTGGAACTTGTGTCTTTGCTGTTGGGCATGTTAGAAATTGATCGGAAGGAAGCAAGGGTCAATGCTATGCAGTCTGCAATTGTGGAGACATTTCCTGAACCAAACAGGCGTTTATTACAGAGGTAATTTATCTGTCAAACACTCTCTACGTCCTTCCTTCCCTTGATATGTATTTTTCAAATTTCATGGTCTGTCTTTTGTTTCGTGACTGATTTATTTTCCAATCAATAACCATTTGTTGAAGCTTTAGTTAAATTGGCCTTCATATGTATTTCATTAGATGTATTTTGGTCATCTGATAATGTTATGCAAAAATGTTGATCTACGACTCTTGCTAGGGGATCATATATGTTAGCTTCCAGAGATTTGAAAGAGAAAATGTGATGTTCAATTAGATAATTATATGCTTTAAAAATAAGGTAAAAGAAACATTTCAATGAATATGTACAAGAGTATTATCGCTTAAATGATTCATAATAGGCTTCAGGTGCTTAGTGATTGTTCATGCATTCCTTTTTTGTGTATTTATTTTCCATCGTTTGAAGCATCTGAAAGAGAATGGGGGAGACCCTAAAACCAGAGGTATACTTTCAGAGTTTGCTGTTACTCAACTATTTGAAATAATGATAATATAATTGTTTTGCATATTTTTGTTGAAGGCAATCATAGGTGACTAAATATATTGGTTTTGCAATTTTAAGTTCTCTTTGCATCTAGCAAGTTCATAAAGCATGATGGAAATGATTTCTTATTGCAAGTACAATTTGATTAATTCTTGTAAATTTTAGCTTCACAAAGGTGTTTATCCCCCTTTACTCATGTATCTGTTTTCGTAGCATGCAGGATTACACAAGTTGGTGACCCCGTTAGAACATTTAACACAATAAAAATGACATTGAGTGGAGAGGCCCTTTAACCATATAAACCAACCTTAGGTGATTCTAATCATTTGATGTGGAATACATTCTCTTTTTACACCCACCCTCATGTAGGACCCAAGTTCGCATGGGAATTTAACAAACAATCTAAAATTCATACCAGGAAATTTGAATAGGTAACAGATTAGCCCACTAACAGCCCAAGGCCCAATTTTGATTTCATGTCAGGGCATTCAACTCAAAATCAATTGACAATGAGTTGAGAGGCTCCTTAACCACATAAACTAAGCTGGGCTAGTCCTAATTATTCGAGGTGGAATGCAAACTCCTTTTTTACAGATGCAACCCATATCTGCACCCAGGAACAATACATTTCCTTTTCCTCATTTGTGATGTCATTATTTGAATGAAGGTTTTCTTCTCAAAACATGTTTTACTAAGTGAAGTGGAACATTTCCGTCATGGTTGTGTCCATCTATAATTTTTTCTCTGGTTGTTTTGTCTTGTGTCCTTTGCGTGGTTGGACATGAGTTTATGTATGTAACCTATGGTCCTCAATTTTGCCTGTGAATTGGGGTCTTAAATTTCATACAATATGGTTTGAAACACCAGTCAAAGCTAGAAATACAGGACAGGTAGTTCTAATAAATGCACAAACTTAAATCATAGAAAATGTTTCTCAAATCCTACAGTTGAGGCCCAAGTCCCGGTATAAAATATCAGAAGATGTAATTAGCAAACTGAATGATAAATTATGTTGGAATCTCAAAAACTCATTTGCAATGTTGTTACCCCCAAAATAAGGTTTCTCTGTAAACAGTTTGTTCCATCCAACCACACCTTAAAGACCTGCTTAAACTAACTCTGCATCTAACTTGAGCAAGAGAGAAGAGTCAAATTGTGTTGGGGGTGGGGAAGAAAGTAGAGGAGAAAGTGAATGAGGCTCAGGGCATGTATTAATCACTAATATGAATCAATATTTTCATTCTTTTTTTTCATTGTTGTGATTTTATGTTGACTATCAGTATTTGATATTGATGGGAAATTTTGAATGCTACATTTGTTTTTAGAAAGAGAATCTTCAGTAAATAGGTTACCGACTAGGACTCGGAGGAAAAATATGACTGTATAATAGGTTTTTCCTGAAGAAGGTAGCATAACATGTGTGTCTTCAGATGCACATACACAATGACCACATACACTCTAAAAGAAACAAATTTTTGAAAGATTCATGCATAGTGGACATTACCACCAGAAGCAAAGAAAATTTTACCAAATTTTCATCAACTAGTGAATATAACAAAAAATAAGTTGAACGCAATTCCCTTTTCTCCAACAAAATAACAAGGTAATGCAAATCCAGATTGCCCATAGATACTTATATTGCAAGCAAAAAATAATTGTAATCTCCCTCACAATCAATAATCAAAATATCATTTCGAAGCATTGTTTTGGTCACTTAAGAAATAGAAATGTTTTGAAAACGTTTCAGAAACGTTTCAGAAACATAATGAAAATGAGATAGAAAATTTAGGGATTTATTTTCAAAACATTTCAAAGTATTGGTCTAAATATATTTAAAGATCTTAGGAAACATTCCAAAACATTGGTGGACACATATTGAAATATCTCGAAACAACTCAAAGTAGCCTGAAATACCTTGAAACACTTCGAAGTATTGAAATTTTGATTCAATTAATAATTCGTTTTGGTCTTATTAGAGATGAAAACGTTTTGGTGGTTTCAAAAAGATATTTTAATCTTTGCTCACAATACTTGTACTCTTATATTGCTTCTAAACCATAGATATCGGGATCATAGATACCCCTATCATCCCATGAACTGGTGTCGCACGACCTGAAATGAAGTGGGTTTGTGATCCAGATCACTCAAAATTTCGACCCCAAATTATAAATTAAACCGCAAATTGATTCATGATCTAAGCAATCTCACATCATAACCCCAAACCCAAATCATAATCCTAACTTGCTATTTCTTTATTGTGGTGTTCTTTAAACTCTTATTTTTTACAATATGTATCAGAAATATAAAATAAATATTTATTAACTTCATGTATACAACTGTATTATTCTATATAGAAGTTAAAAAATGAATCACGACCAAAAATAGCGTACCAACTAAGTTTGTTCCCACCGTATCTCGTATTGGAAGAAGTATTGTACCACGTACCTATACCAAATCGAGGTAACATTGTTCCAATTGGTAAAATGAAATAATTGGATAATTGAAAACTGTGACTATTGAGGTATTAGGTATGCACATTTAATGCTGAGAGTGCTGAGATTATGCATTGAGTTTCTGATAGCAGATGAATAATCAAAGATTCAAAAGTGTTTGAGAAGTTTATACTCTCAGAATGAGGATTCTGGTGGACTTAAGATGCCCTTATACAACTGTTTGATGTGAGCTAAACATAATATTTTTTTTCATTTTTTCTTTAATGTTGGAGCAGCATTTGATTGACTAGGGTTGCACTCTAGTTAGCAATGTTAATATTCAACATCATACTACTGCTGATTTTTTTTTTCTTTCTTTTTTAGTGTTCACGAGAGAATAATGTGTACCAGAATGATGGTGTACGCATACTGACGCATGGAAACTTTCCTGTCTACTGTTTGATACAAAGTGCTCATTGAATTTCATCTTTTTTGAGTGAACATCCTTAATAATGTCAGTCGAATCCATCACTTTTTACCATTCTCTTGCAGAATCCTGAAGATGATGCACACAATTTGTTTGCATGCTTCTGAGAACCGGATGACTCCATCTGCTGTTGCTGCTTGTATGGCACCATTGCTTTTACGCCCTCTTTTAGCTGGTGAATGTGAAATGGAGGATGATTTTGATGTAAATGGTGATAATTCTGCCCAGCTTCTTGCTGCTGCAAATGCTGCTAATAATGCTCAAGCCATTGTTACCACACTCTTGGAGGAGTATGAGAACTTTTTTGATGTAAGGTGCTCTCAATCCATTTATTTAATAATGTGCTTGACAAAGCAGTTGCTTTTAAATCCTTTTCCTGTGATTTTAGTGTCATATGATATTATGAGTTATGTACCTTTCTTTGGGTCTTTTTTGTTTTCCTTTTCATTCTTTTCTTTATATTTCAGCGTTTTATGCTGGTGTGAGCTTTCATTTGCTCTTTCCCCCCTTTTGTATATCGTTGCACAGGATCTCCATACTACTATTTCATGATTTTAGCTTTGCATAATCTTAGCAGTTTTTATGTTTTTATTGAGTGTTGTACGAAGGGTTGGAAGTTCATTTCCCATTTTTCCCCTTTCTTAGCTATTGTCACATGTTGCTTATTCCAGGATGCTAGTCTACATAGGTGCTCCATTTCAGCTGATTCTCGGATTGAAAACAGTGGGAGTGAAGATTCATCTGATGATGAAAATCCGGACGGTAAAGATAATGGTTACCATGATGCAGAAAATGAAGTCGGCCCAGAAACTGATGATGACCCTGATCGTGTATTCAGTGGAAAATTCAGCGAAAGCAGTGGTTCTGCTGGAACTGATCTTTATGACTATAAGGTCTTCCTTCTTACTCTGTGTGTTACTTTTCATCATTTCATTTTTATGGCAGACTACATAATCTGCTTTAGCCATACCTGGTTGACTGGTCAGATTTATATTACTATTTTTTGAATTTTTAGCTAACGAAAGGCTATAGAATGAATGTTTATTCATTTATTCGTTAGTTTACTATCCATTAGTAGAGTACCTGCTGGATTTATCCATATGTGAAGATTTGGAAGGCAAAGATGCTTTTGAAAGTGCAAGTTCGTGCGTGGGTAATTGCTTATGTGAAGATCAATACCTATGATATGCTCCAAAGAAGGTGGCCTTGTACCATTCTTTGCCCATGATGGTGTGTCGTGTGTAGAGCAAGTTGGGAGAGTGCGGATCATCTCTTCTTACACTGTACTGTTGCATTATCCTTATGGAACAAATTGTTTGAAATGGGAGGGCTTTGTTGGTGCCACCGTGATCTATTTCATCTATGCTTTGTGTGGATTTCAGAGGGTTGGGTGGAAGAGGTTAGGAGTGTTATACTTTGGCAATGTGTGGTCCTCGCAATTGTTTGGATTATTTAGTTGGAGTGAATTTCGAGAATATTTGAAATAAAGAAGAAGTGTTGGAAGGGATGTGGGTTTGGATCCACTCTTTAGCTTCTTTTTGGGCTTTAGAGACAAAGGAGTTTGAAAATGTCCCTCTTTTTTTATCACATCAAGTTGGTTAGTCGCATGTGGAAGATAGAGAGATTGTGGCTTTGTGGGTTTCACTGTTTAGTGTTAAATTTTTTTTTTTCTTCTTATTTTTGTTGTTTTAAGGGTTGAACATCTTGTCCATCTCTCTTAGGATAATGTAAACATTATTTTATTTGTTGATAAAAGTTGTTTCCTGTCAGAGAAAAAAAGATGGCTTCATTTGTATGTATAAAAGCTGTTAAACAAACAAGTCCACAAAATAAGGACTTACATTGGTCTTGAGATTTGTTGGTGCACTTGCTTATCTGTAGCTGTTGAATGGAATAGGTTTGAGTTTTTCTCTGCTGCGAGTAAACAGAGTTTGAAGTCAATTCTGCAAGCAGATTTTGTTGGTGGATTCATTTTCAAATGAACTTGAAAACTTTACTGCTCTCTGATGTAAGAAATCTTGTTAACATTCTGTTGGACCTGGCAGATAAAAGACCTATTTTTAACAGGAATAATAATTTGAAAGATGAGTTTGGGGGCACTGAGTGCTTGCCATTTCAAAATTTATGTTCTTGATGAAACAAGTAAATATGTGCGATCCTACTAGAATAGAAAGTGGAGTGACTTCACAGGAAAGGTTGGTCTTGTCATGGAGAAAAAAGCCTTAAGAGTTAATCTATTCTACTCTGTTAAGCAAAGAGGGGAGTCATATCGTAATTACCTATCAAGTTCTTCTCTTTTTTATTTTTTGCTGCTTTGAGCATGAGTAAAATGAATAAAAGAGCACCGAGTAAAATGAATAAAAGGGCGCCAAGGGGGCTGTTTACAGAGTCTATTTAAATTTTCACAGTTACCTAGAAACAAAGATGTGTTGGACTATTTGGAGGTAGTTTCCGTATGGCTTGTGCCTTACATATGCATTGATTGATGTTGAACTTCTTATTTTCTCTCTGGAGTAAAGGAACATATGTAAATTTTAGTATGTGCTGGATTTGTTAAAATTCTATCACTGCTGATTCCTATTTGTCATCTTCATGTTGTGTGGATTCAATTTGTAAATTCAGGCTTTTGAACGTGATGATTCAGATGCTGGGTCCCCCAGGAATAATCTCACTTCAGCGGCCAAATCCAACATGCTTGTAGATTCTGAACCGCTGAGAGATTCTACAATTCAATTCAATGAGCAAAAAGGCCGATCGCATATGGCAAGTGAAAATGAAATGGATGCTGCTAACATTTTTCCTGGTAGTGATTCTCATCGATCAATGGGGGAGATACTGTCTTCTATGGAGCAAGGGCTGCCTCAATCTGCTGCTGGACCTGAATCAAGTGTTGAGAAGCCAGTGAGCAAACTTACAAGCTCCAATCTCAATGTTAAACGTTCCACATTTTGGGGAAGAAGCTCCGTGAGTAGTTAGCTTTTGTTGATGCATTTCTTATCTTTGATAAACTATTGTTTTATCCTTTAGCTCGTTTTTGTTGTTCCTACCATCTTGTTTTTGGCTTATTAGACCCTTTTCATATCATAGTTGATTCCTTTTTTTTTTATCAGTTTTTCTTGAAATATATATATAATACTCATTCATCGCCATGCTTATTCTTGCTCTCACCCACTTGGAACCTTTTTTGCAATATCAAGTGGTTGTGCTTGTTTGCACATGTACTCCATACATTATGTCTGTCGTTGCACTGCTGACATCGAAGCCTAACTTCTACCTGTTCTTTGATTTGGCAAACTCAAAAGTTTTTGGGTTTTGAGGATGGAATATTGTTTTAAGATAATATGATTAGTTGCCTTTTAGATAACAGAAGATATTATTGATTTATTAGTCTCACAATTGAATGGAAAATGCCAACAGGCTTAATTTGTTAATAATGCTATGATGATTGGATCGGAAGCTATAAAAATAAACTATATGAGCTTTATATCAGAAATGGTGCACTAACCAAAACAAACACAGGAAGTTTTGGATTGTAGATTCCAACATCTACTTGACATGGACCCTTCACTCCTCTAAAAGTGTCCACACAAAGTGGGTTTTCTCTTAATATGTAGGTGCGTGAAGAGAGTTTGGATCCCATGTTGAAAGATTCTGGCCACTCAAGGTTGATTCATAGGGTTGAGGGCCCTCTTCACTCATTGTCAACTGGTTTTGGCTTGAATACCTTTAACCTCATATCAAAGTTGGATCTTGGGTGGTCAAGTGGGCCACGTCCCTCATGCATTTGAGTTTCCTGATATGTTATGTCTGTCTATTTCAATTTTGGTTTGTTAACCTATTTGTGAGCCTAAATCTCACGTGAGGAAGGTAATGAAAAGAGCTTTTATCCCTTGTTGAAAGATTAGTGCCATCTCAGGGTGGTTTACATGGCAAGGGACCTCTCTACTTATTGTCAACTGGTTTTGAGTTGGTTGCCTCTAACAGAACCACATATTCTCTTTTATGATTCAGTAATTAATTCCAAGATGCCTCTATTTTTTTTTCTTGAAAGTTTGGCTCATTCTCCTATTAATTTTTCCTGTACAGGCAAGAAAGACACCTTCAACAGAATCGATTGATTCTTCTGGAGAGGAAGAGTAAGATTTCTATCATAAACTTTGTCATTTTGCTTCGTATTACATGATACACATATGAAGGCCTATTTATGGTACACATTATGGTTGTATTATACGTCCTTCTACTTGTTAAGCAGGGCCTTATTTTTTTTGAAAACCACAATTTGTTTTCTTTTTTCTATATTTGGGATACATGCAATTGAGAAACTTCATTTGAGACAAAACACGCTCATCTTATATTGACACAAAGATGCTCCACTTTGTAGAAGGCTATGATTAGGCTAATTTAATCCAATGTCACTCGTCCATTCATTACTTTTGTTTTAAGGATGATGAGGCAGTTTATGCAGAGTCTAAAAAGGTGACATTTGAAAGGTATATTCTACATTTTCATATTTTAGAAAAGTGATCCTGACAAGGGTCTAGTTTTGAAACACTGCAAATTTGGAAGCAGTTGGTTTTTTCGATATAGGTTGGGTTGGTGATCCTCTAGATTAAGGTCTGTGTTAGCGTTGCATACTTTTATTGGTGGCAAACTTGTTACATAGACGAGTAAGAAACAAAATCTGGCTCCGCCAAAGTCCAAATGCAGAGGCCAACTACATAACTATGGCCCACACATTTTTATGAGATGCTATATGGTTGAGATCATTGTTACAGAGGTTGGGAGTTTCTAATGACAAGTCTATGAAGATCAAGGAAGCACGGATACGGGTACGACTGTTGTATTCGATACTATACGAACACGGGGATATGACAAAGTTCCAAAATATTGGACACAAGTGTGACAAGGATACGACTATTAAAATAATAATAGAGTTGTAATATATTAAAAATAAAGCATATATTATAACAATATTAATAATAAGACCTAACAAATATTAATTTTTTGATTAAAATTTAAATAGATCAAATTAAATATCTACCATTTTCATCAAACATCATGACATCTATTAACATTCATGGTATATAAGTTACATAGCAAATAATATATTAAAAAAAGTAAAAATCACATTCTTTTTAATAGTTAAAAGTTATTTTTTTTAATAAAAAAATTTCTAGCCATGTCGTAGACATATCCTAATCGTGTCTTAGACGTATTCTGGCCGTGTCCTAACTGTATTCTGGTCGTGTCCGACTGAGTTCACTGTTCTGGACACTTCTAGTTGTTTTAGACACGTGTCTGATCGTATCCTGGTCGTGTCCGTGTCGGACACGTGTTCAACTTTGCCACGACACCCCATGTGCAAGTATCCGTGCTTCCTAGATGAAGATACAATGTGATTATTTGCTGCCATGCATATTGCCAAGAAACTCATATTTCAATAGAGAAATAAGTATATTGAGGGTGATTGTCACCTTTTTCGAGATATAGTGATGTGACGCAAATTGTTACATCCTTTGTTACGTCAAGTGTTCAGTTAGGAGGTATGTTTACTAAGACTGAATGAGAGACAATTTTCAGTTGTAACAACATGTGCACGATGACATCTATGCTTGAATTCGAGGAGCGGTTTGGATTATCAAGAGTTATAATTTGTGGGGGTAATTTGGAACTTCCTCTTCACTAATATATATAGGGTTATCCTCCCCATTTTAGATAAAATTAGTCAATCTTTTTCTCCTCCTTTTCTCTGTTCTTGTTCCCTTTAAAATCTTGATGGCAATGGAAAAAAATATTCCCTTTTTGTCAAATCCTTTATACATGATAGTTTGCTCATGAAAGAAACAAATCTTACTTAGATTATTTTGTAGCAATTATGACGAGTCATTGAATACTGCTGAATATGAGATCTTGGTCCTACTATTTTATTAAAGCAGCAGTTCAACTTTCAAAGCTTAAGCTGCTATTGTCCATAAAAAGCTATTCAGGAATAATTTACAGAGCATCTTGTCCTTGCACAAACTAGGTAACCTATGCTGCAAAGTACAAGAAACTGGTATCATATAGTGTTTTATTGTTATTAGTGCACTACTGTAATTTTTTTTATATTTTATGTTTTTTGAATCTGTTTGACAAATAAATATGCCTTTTTGTAGACTTGCTATTCAGAGGCTTGAGATTACAAAAAATGACTTACGCAACAGGATTGCAAAGGAGGTAACATTTAACTCTCTGTGCAATGCACTGCATGCTGAACTATGACATTGGTTTTGTCACTAATAGGATTTGCTTTCGCCTTTGTTAGGCTAGGGGAAATGCGATTTTGCAGGCTAGCTTGGAGAGAAGGAAGCAAGCTTTGCATGAGCGTCGCTTGGCTCTTGAGCAAGATGTATGCACTTTAACATTGCCATTGTCATAACTATTGTTCTCAATTTTATTGGTTTCATATGACTGCTTTTTATAGCACTTGATTCGTATTGTAAATCCTTGGTACTCATGAATGAACTTATTGTTTTGTTCGTTAATTTGTTGTTTATAGTGACTGTATTTTGCCATTATGTGTTCTTTAATTTGAGCAAGAGTCGATGAAAATTGGTGGTTGACCATTGTTTTAAGGCTAAATTGTTGGTATTAGGACTAAAAATTGGCAATTTTGTGAGCGGTACTGTAGCTTGGGATTTTACATTGGTGCAGACATCATTCGGGGAGCAAGTTTAAACCTCAAAAGCATTATATGATTCAAGATGCTGCAAATGCAAAGAATGGATTAATCCAAGCTCTTTGGTCCTAATATTTAGGTTAGTTAGGACAAATTTTTAGTGTAGGCACACTTCTCTAGGTGTTGGGTGCCTTGTTCCATTGGCAATTGCATTATGTTGCAATTTATGGATCAGAAATCCATCAATTGGCTAGCTACCCAAAAACTGACGCCAGACATTTGCATCCCACATGTATAAACTCATATCTCCCTTTTTATGTGGTTCTTGATGGTATTTGGGTATCATAACCCTCATCTACTTTCAAGAACATCTGTGTGTGTGTGAGAGAGAGAGAGAGATTGCAGGTCAAATTGACCAAAATACCCTTTCATCCAAGAGAACTTAGGTTTAAACTTTGAAAACCACTTTCTTTTGGTCAAAGCACTCACTTGAGGATTGGAAAATTCTTTCTGTGCTTCTTGTAATGACCCATTGTATGTCACTCATAGTCTTGCACACTTTTAGAACAGATAGCTCTAGGGGGAGCTTCTAGATCTTCAATTGTGAGATTGTAGGTATGTAGGTGTGGTGATTGTGGTAATTGATATGTTGTAGGTTAGCCTAAAAAATATTTATCAAATCCTTCGAATTGGTCTGGTGAGGACTTATTTGTGTAGGCTATGAATTGGCCTCTCTGGATATCAAAATTTTGTTGGGGTTCACTTGGATTCTCAATATGACAGGGAGACCCATATCTTGGTGGTAGGAAGAGTGGAGTGGGTTGAATTGGAGACAGCTGAACCACTATATATTTTGTCTTGTGCCTTGTGCGTCATATTCAACTATCGTAAGCTTGTTTGATTTTATATGTTGATTCCTGTATGTTTCTATTCAATTATTGACTTGAATCTTTCAAATTGAGAAAATATGCTTAATGTGATCAAGTCTTGAGTTTAATTATTAATCATGGTTGAGGTGGAACTTGCTAGAAGGCTAAAACTCTATTTGAGAAACTGAAGAGGTGATTGGAAACTCTATTGGGTGGAAATTGTAGTACTAAGCATAAACACGAGACACTTATTTTTTGGAGCAAGTCGACCCGTTGTTACAAATAATATGTTTTGCTTTGAATTTGAACCGATCAAACATAGTTGCATTTTGGTATCTTATCACTCACACGTTACATTGTGTAGGTTTAGTTGAAAACATGAGTGGCAGTGCTTAAATGTCTAAAATATCCTTGTTTTTAAAATCAAAGGAAAGTAGCCCATAGACTTAGAAAAAGATTCTCATGGAGAAAAATTCAAGTAGTCTTGCCCAAAAATCCTCGGTATCCATCTTTGATACTAAGATTATAAATTTCTGATGTTTTGAGAAGAGGAGAAAGATTTGACAACTGGTTTAGTCGTAATTTTAAGATAATTCTAAGATAGAAAAGAAAGTGCTTACAACCATGGTCCCAACCACCATTGAAAATGTATACCGAAAGAACCCTTGGAAGTACAGGGAACATTTCTTTGCATAATTGAAGTTATAGATTAAGTTTCAGTCCAAGAACTCTAGCATTCAGTTCCCCATTATAGCCTTTTAAAAATTGAACCTGCTGAAAGACTACCAGGATAATTATGCACCCAACCAGAGAGCTTCTCTCTTTGCATTGCAATCGATTCCCAAGGGCAAAGCTAGGAAATTGCTTTAGGGTGGGCACATTAACAAGTTTTAATTTTTTTTCCAACTAACCGCTGAAGTTCATAAATCCTATTTATTGAAATAATATATTTGATACTTAAAATTTCATTAAAAAAAAAGGTTAAATTTTTTTTACCAAGAATAAAATAAAAAAATAAATTAATTATAATTTTTTACCAAGAATGAGGCTAGTTATTGTCATCTACAATTGATCCTAGAGAGTTTTTCTCTTTTGAAAGCGTTAAAAATCAATGCGATCAACAAATACTTCCTTCTACACAACAAAATAACCCTACAATTTAAAAAAATTATGTAATGACCCTAGTATGTCCAAAACTTTTTGTACATGTTCGAAGCATGTCAAAAAGTTAAAATAATGCTAGTTGCATCTAATTCAGGATTTAATTGGTGGGCTCAATGGTTTGTGGCTATTGGATGGATAATAGACTTTATTAAATATTGGGACTCATTATTAGGTTTAGTGTCACCATGCATTAGTGCTGAAATTCATTGCGTGAAATTTGATTATCATTTACTTAGGGTCTATCCTAATTGATATCACAAGAACACAATAATAGGGTGAACGCAATTAAAAATGTTTAAATTTTATTTCAAATAATACATATCTAATGTCAAGAAAAAAAAATAAAATTGAGGGTGAGCACTAGGCCAATGTTGGCTCCACGCCTCCGCCCCGGTCGGTACCCATGTGTTGCCATTTCTCTCTCTGTCCCTCTATATTTTTTGGATCCATACAAAGACTTTTTCATTTGTTTGCTGTGAAATTGTGATTCGCAATTTCTCTCTCTAGTGTGAAATTGTGAAAAAGATGAAACTAGTTTTTCATTCACAACCCTGCAAATCGAAGCCATTGATGAAATATGCATTTATTAAGTTGTGCCTCTGATGAGAGAAAGATGGAGAAGGAGAGCTCCTTGGGTCGAATATTCTGCTATGGCGAGATAGCCAACTTATGACATAGATTTGATTGGTCAAAAAAGTCACAATCTTTGACCGAGTCATCATCTGGAATGAACATGTAGGATCATAATATTTTATTCTCTCTCTAGTGTTATTTGATAATGCACTGCCCTCTGATGACTCACTCATTTATGTAACCTGTAAGGTGTAATGTGTGTAGTGCCTGTATTAATATCTAATTTTCGGACCCCTGGGCCAAAAGAAGCTGTATTGACACACATGACTTGTATAGACTTTATAAACTCAACTACTTCAATTCCATGTACAGAAACAAAAATTTACCTAATAATATTCAGATTTCAGTGCTGTATGTCTTAGTTGATTTGTGTTTCTGCTAAAACAGGTCTCAAGACTGCAAGAGCAACTGCAAGCTGAGAGAGATCTTAGAGCTGCATTGGAGGTTGGACTGAGCATGTCTTCTGGACAGTTTTCCAGCTCCCGTGATATGGATTCCAAGGTTTGTATTGAGGTTACCTAAGTTTAATGGTTAGTGAATGCATTTAATGTGATACATTTTCAAGCGTTTTTCCTATTGTGAAGACAAGGGCCGAGCTTGAGGAGATTGCTCTTGCTGAAGCAGATGTGGCACGATTAAAACAGAAAGTTGCCGAACTCCACCATCAACTCAATCAGCAGCGTCAACATCACTATGGCTCCCTTTCTGATGCTTGCGATCGTTATCAACATGTCCAAAATCATAATTCTCAACAGTGAGTACTACATCCACCTATATCATCTTTCCAACTTCAAAGTTTCAATGTTCAAGATCTGTGGTTTTGGAGTGAGACGTATTTCAAGTTTTGGAGTATAAAAGGAATACCTGGATTGGGCCTTTTATATCATAAATGACGTTTCTTTTCGTGCCACCATCCTTTGAATTTATGAGAGTTATAATCTTTACTTTGTTTGGAGTAAATGTGACATGCATTTGCTTGACAGTCTTAGTATCCATGAGCATAATAGACGCACAAGTTTCAATGAAGGAATTGTATGCATATGTATTACCTTATGCCAAAGTCGAGTGAAACTATATATTTTGGTTGTGACCTTCATTTGTATGAAATTACCTGTGCGTAAGTGTAGCTAACTCTTTTCATAATGAATCCCGTAAATTAGTAGTTTTTGACTAAATATATTTATAAATTAGTCATTCGACTGGTTCCCGGAAGATATAGCTTAAGCAGGTTAAATCAGTCATTCTTATGTTAGCTATAGGTAATTTTACTCTAAGGTTGTCAAATGACTGAGGCATTTAGTTTTTGTAGGAAAGAAATACAATAGACCCACATTGTTAAGTGAAGTTGGAATAGGAACTTTCTTGTTGGAATTAGTTAAATTCCTTGGAACACCCACAGACTATTGGAACGAAAATATAATTTTATACAACAAAATAAGTGGATGTGGTGTTTTTGAGAAATTTTTATCTAGTTGAGTACTATTGTACCTTTTATTGATATCTGTGTGGCGGTGCATATGAGCGCATTCTTAGATTTGAGCCAGTCCTTTCCTTACTACTGCAACCACAAAAAAGAAAGAAAGGACTCGCCATCATGGTTCAAAGCGTGCCGAGTCGTATCCTTTTGAATCGACACCGTTACACGATATGTGCAAACGCTGAGGCTTGCACGATTCAGCCAAGTTGTCCGAGTTGTCTCCAAGTTAATCCCAATTCGCCGAGTTATCGTCCTCAAATTTGCTGATACGGTTTTACGATATTGCCATATCACCTGAATTTCTCGTCATATTGAACCTTTATTTTTTAGGTCGTATTGCCGGATACCTTGTCATGACTGATGTGTCTCAGAGTCTTCCGAGCCAATGGCTGATACCGTGACTTTGAACCATGCCCAACATGGACTCTTTTAAATGAAATTGGGTACATATTACCCATTAATGTTCTCATACCGTACAAATTTATTTGTTGTATGCAGGAAATTTTTTCAGCAAGATTTTGATACAACTCTTGCTGTTGTTAACCATGAAAGGAAACAAAGAACTGAGGTAAATGCTTACATTCCTTTGATTTCTTATGCAATGTGTATGCCTTTTTTGATTAATATTCTTACATAGGATATTTCTTCAGAGTTGCTATTTGTGTATTGGATCTTCTCTCTCAATTTCCTCATCCAATTTGAATTTTATTTCTTTTACTTGTTATCATTATTTTTGTAACAGAATAAGGCAGGCTTGAGAGAGAGAGGGAGAGAACGTATGTGTGTAGGTACACTAAAACCAAAAACTGACCAATATACCCTTTGGGGTACACTTATTACAAAGGCTCCAAAACTTTAATTCACTCTTAGCACCCCACTCAAGCTGGTGACTATATTTCATATCATATCATATCAACTTGAAATTAATGTTCTTTAACTGGGTATGACTTAATGACTTTGTAACCATTTTTGCAACTTGATCCTTACATTTGACAAATGGTGTAGTGTCTCCCATAAACATTTTTTCTCAAACAAAGTGGCACTCAACATCAATGTGTTTAGTCATTTCATGAAATACTGGATTGTAGGCTATATGAACAATGGCTTGATTATCACAGAATAATTGAATTAAGTTTGAGCTAGAAAACCAATCTCCTAAAGGAAGTGCTGCAACTATGTTAACTCGCAACATGTGTGAGCCATTGCCCAGTTCTCTGCATGAGCACTAGACCGTGCCACTATTGTTTGTTTTGTATTTCTCCATGTAACCAAATTACTTTCTAATAAGATGCAATATCTTTTAGTGGATTGTCTGCCTGAAGGAGAACTTGCCCAATCAGCTTTTGTAAAACCTTCCAATCAAAGATGCATGTTTGGAAGATATAACAATCTTAAGTCGGATAATGTGAATAACAACATGCTAGTGTTCTTACCAGAGGAGATTCCATAAACTCATTGACTATACTCACTACATATGATATGTTTGGTTAGGTAATAGTAAGATAATGCAACTTTCTAACCAGGTATCTAGGACCTTCAAATCATCGACCTTCATGCACTGAAAGTAGTTCATAGGAGTATCAACTAGATAACCATCAAGCAGTCTCGTTTCTTCTAAAAGATTTGATATATATTTCCTTTGAGACAAGCTAATACCTTGCTTTCACCTAGTAACCTTGATAGCAAGAAATTTTCTTTGCCTAGATTTTTGGTCTGAAACTGATGTTGCAAAAACTGTTTAAACTTAAAAATGCCAACAGAGTCATCTCCTATAATCACGATATCATATGCTTTAACGATAAGAAGAATATTATCAACATCAATACGTAAATGAGATATTGAATGATCTTTTTGGCACCAATGAAGGTAAAAATTTAACACAACCTCTAAAAACAAACTTAACCATGCTTGAAAACACTGTTTCAACCTATACAAAGCCTTGATTAATTTGCATACACTCCGATACTCCCTTTGAGTATCAAACTTATGTGGTTTCTCTATTTAAACTGCTTCAGCTAAGTCACCATGGACGAAAGCATTCTTAACACCCAACGGGAACAAGGGCCAATCAAAATTAGCAGGAATAGATTCTGACTCCAGATTTATATAATAGGAGAGGTTGGATATGAAGACGGTGAGGAAGATGGTAATGGAGTAGTAGGTAGAATTGATATTAGGTTCAATACAATTCAACAGTAGTCATATGATTTGACCACTTTTTTGTTCTCATGTGTGAAAATTAGTATCGGTCTCCTGACTCTCCTTAGGCTTTTCTTCCATCGACCGACTACAAATACCATTTGCTTTAAAAAATACCTCCATTGATTTAGCCCATAAGATATAATTGATCTTATAGACTTTAACATAAGTCACGGGTCAATTGAATATGAGGCAGATGAAAGTTGGTCAATTGATCTTATTGATTTTTTGAAATTATGCCAATTACAAAAAATACTTACATGTAAGAGTGGGTCGCTGTGGAGAGGGGAGACATGGAGGGAGGCCTATCACCAAGAGCCGGAGGGGAGGTGCAGGAAAGAAGAGCATTGGGAATGAAAAGGATATTAGTTGAAAACAAATAGGCGAGAGTAAAGAGTGAGCCAGAGATGATGAGACAGAAGAGAAGCATAGAATGAAGCATAGGGACCTGAGAGAAAAGAGCAAGAAACTATAAGAAAAGGAGAAAAAGATAGGGAACTAATGAGAAAGTGTGATGGGATATTACATTTACTCGGTCATTACATTAGTAAGTGTCTGTCAATAAATATCTTTTCGGTGTTTAAAATATCCAAGTTTATAGTACATGTGGGATATATATAGTATTGTTTTTATTATATTTTGGATTAGATTTCTATATATCTATATGCAACCCCAATAAAACTTGCCTAAATGGATTCAGATTAGATTTGGGTTAACGAATTAAGATACTAATTCATATCCAACTAAATGGATTCGTATTTGGATCGGTTTGTACTACATTCCGGTCCATTGTAAGGTCTACTGTTTACACTAGTTCAGGCTGGTTTTGTCGTTGTTTAGGCTAGCCAGTTCAAGTTTGTTCTGTTATTTCTTTGCTCAGTTCACCCTCCAGTCACCACCTCCAACACCGGTTCTCCCTCATTCACTCTTGGTTTAATCGACTGCAATACTTCGCGGACCGATCCAATCATATTCAGAACCTTTTGATTCGATTCAGCCATATTCAGGCTTAGACATCTCTTTTCTTATCTTCTCTTTTCTTCACGCTTTAGACATGCACATTGTTAATTATCTTGTTTATTCCTTGAGTTACATGAGTCAAGTTGGTTGAGATCTAACCTTTTACAGATTGAAGAAAATCACGTCGGTTTATATCGAGATTAATTAAACATTGGACTGAAGATCAATGAAGAAATTCTAACTAAACTCATGGCAATCACACGCAGGTTAGGTGATAGAGATCGAAAAGAGATTGGATGAGCTTAATTGAAGAGTTGGATTTTATTATTTGTTTTAGTATTACTATATTAGTTAGGAAATATTTGTTTGACTAGGAGTATTAATTAGAGTTTGACTAGAAAATTATTATAGAGTTTTAGTAGTATAGGAATTTAAGAGTTTGATTATGACACTCTTTTAGAATTTTAGTATGAGAATTGTTTTGATTTTAGTAGGGGACTTGACCTATAAATATTGATGTAATCCCCACTATTTAGATTAGAGAGTGATATAATAAAAACGTGTTTCTTTGTGGAGAATTTTGTGTTTCTTGACTTCCACCCACTCTTCTTTCTTCTTCTCTTTTTATTCTCTGATTTCTAGTCCTTCCCGTCCTACATCATTAGGCTGGGTAAGTTGATCTAGAATATCTTAGTTGACCATAATCTTAATTGGCAAAATCTTTAAAAGTCTTGTTTTATATGATTTATACTTTTCCTTATATTTTTGTGTGAAAATTTTTATTTTTAAACCTTAATTAAGGTTTAAGTATAGACCACAATCAAGCAATATCTTAGGGCTCTTGGATAGGGTCATTTGGACCAAGTTTAGAAGGATTATAGTAGTTGGCACTCAATGTTCACTCGAGCAAGGCTTGCACAACAAGTTCTGATCAACTGCTGGGACTTGCACTCACTTCTCGCCTCACTTCTCGCCTACTAGGCGCTCAACGATTTGGCGTGCGCTCGAGTGACGAAGACGTATTGAAATCCCAACTACGCTAGAACACATTCTAAAGCTTGCCTTGGTGCTTCCCACCATATAAATCAGACCCTAGTAGGTTTGTAGATGAGCTAAAAAGGCCAAGAGAAATAAGGGGCAGATCTAAGAGATATCTAAACCTAGAAAACACTTTTTGATGTTCTTCTTTCGTAAGGAACACATAACATTCTAGTGATTTTCTTGACTAGAGGTTCAGGGTTTAAACTTTGTTTATCAAGAGGCCTATCTTTGAGTGTTATGTGAACACCCCACTCACCCCATAACTTCAGAGAAAAAACTTTCTTAAAACTCATAGACAAGTTTGAAGATTGCCTTGAAGTTTTGAGTAGGAATTTGAGGATTGAAGGATGACGAGTCAGCAGTGTGATCCAAGCCTTCACCGGAGGAGTCATTGTGTATCGTGACTTAAATGGTAAGTAGTTTGCTGGGTGGCGTACGAGACAATAGGGTAGTTTACATCTAGTGAGATTAGAGGATTTGTAAGTATTTGGGTCTACCAATTCCTAGAGTATAGGGTTGGGGTTGGACTTGGACTTGGTCCCATAATTTTTTGCTCCAGTTGGGATTTTTCACATAAAAAATGGATGTGTCTATCTTGCATGATTGTTTACTTTTATACTATGATTTTATGCTTTTGTGGGGAATGTTAGTTTAGGTCAAGATAAAATTTGAATTTATTGATCAATTGACAAAGGACCTATTCACCTCCCTTTATGTCGATTTAGGGTTTACTAAGACATCGTTCCACACAATCTCTCTCTCTCTCTCACCTTGTCATCCAGGCTGGATTGTTGTGGAAGGTTGACACCATTAGCTTGACAAACTGGGAGGCATGGATCCTTTATGTCAAACCTGATTTATTATTTTTGTACATTTTTTTGGATGACATTAATGTATTTTTTTATGAAATTGTGCCTAACTTTAGTGAAAAGTATTGATTGATTGTTGAGTTTGTTATGAAATTAAGCCAAAATAAAACTAAAATTGAGCCATTAATTGAGTTGGATCGGATTTCCTATTGTTATTGGATTCGGACATGGACATAAAAAACCAAATCCGTCGGATAAATGGATGGGTTTCATAATTTGAATTTTTTTATCAGATTTGGCTTTAGCATCGGTGTAGATCCAGTCTGAATTTGATTCATTGACAGATCTACTAAAGAATAATGAAACTTGATTGGACTGGTCTAAATCCAACTTAAATCAGTTTGTGTTGACCTGAACCGCGTTGAATCTGACTTCTTTTTCCTGGATCATACTTGAACCTGGATCCAAGTATCCAAATTGCGTGAAGCGACCCAAATCAAAATAGGATATCCAAAATCAGAACAAGGATATCTTATTCAGGAAGTAAGGGTTAACTAAAACCCATAAGATGCTGCTTTCCCCTGTAACAAAATTAGGGTTCTCCTTTCAAATCAACCCTAAGTTTGATTTGTGGGGATGACGAGATCGATTCCCTGCTCCGATTGCACCAAAAAGCCACCAAACCACAACAAATCAAACCACAATCACCATGAAATACATAACACTTCCACCATTTGATCGCACTGTGAGTAGGGATGATGAAGATGGCAATGAATGAATGATACAAAACTACATGATCCCATGAGTCCATAGAAACTCTGCTCAGTGGCTGATCAGTTGATCAGCTGCAGCAATGAGCACAACCAGTAAAGGGGAGAGGGAATAGGGCAGATTAGGTCCAGATTGCTCTAATACCATGCAACAGAATAAGAGTTAGGGTAGAGAGAGAGAGAGAGCATGTGTGTAGGTTGCATCTTGGCCTCGACACTCATATATACATAGTTATCAGAACTGGACCTGACATCAACTCGACAAAGAGATCAGGTCAATGGGTCACTAGTTTAACCATTGAGTCAACTACTCGGACCGGTAGTATAATAAAGAAACAAAAAATATTTATTAATTAAAAAATATGCTGAAAAATCTTAATAATTATAAAAATTACATGTTTTATTATACGTCAATCAAAATACAAAAACAAAGCATCACAGTTTAATGTAGAGCAAAGATGCAAGAACAAAATTGCGCATCACAGCTAATGAAGAGGAAAATTGTCCATCACAGTATAAAAAAAAACACTTGAAGTTGAAAAAAAATAAACCCAACTCAAAAAATAACAGAACCCGTATTTCAAATTTCAACTCCTATTCCCAACTATTTTAGCTTTTAACTGCACAACATAGTTGTCAAATTGGGATTCGTATTGTGAATCAGAATCCTAAATTTGAGAATCTTGAATCATAAGATTCGACACAAAAATTTGGACAAAAATAAAAAAAATATCTACGTATTAAAAATAGACACGATATTGAATATTGAACATTATTTCATTCTAAAAATAATCAAATGACATAATCACTACATCTAAATGGAAAGATGCTAGCCTTTTGCTTTACTTCATCTTTTGTTTAACCATTTTCAAATTCAACAATTTGAAAAAAAAAATCATTAAAGAATCATGACTATTCAAGAACCAAAATAGTGACACCTAATATAAATTAGGTTAAAAACATGAATGAAAAAAAAACAAATAAGAAAATTAATTAGAAGAAAAAATACAGACAACATTTTGAAATAAAAAATTAGGATCTAACAAACCACCTATAAAAGAATTAAGGGAAAAAATTAAAGTTTATTCTGAAATATGGTGACAGAAGATAGAAAAATCCAATGTAAAGAAAAGAAGAAAAAGGGCATGCTTGGGTTTGCTTATTGTTAAGAAAAAAGAAGAGGAGCAGGAGATATACCTTCAGTCAATGATTCGAGAGATTTAGCCGTGACCTTTAGTTTCAGACAACACAAGGCGAGCTTTAGACGACTCGAGAGAAAACGAGTAATGAGGCCGAGCTTTTATTAGAGCTTGAGTTTCTCTACAAACAAAACGATGTCATTTTATTGTTTAGTGGACAAAACGACGTCGATTTGTTGAAAATTTGGCTTTTAAAAAAAAGTGGCTGAATTGAAAGGCTTGTGCAATAAGAATTGTTTTGTGCTTGTATCAAACCAAATCGTACGATTCGAATTGCGAATTATACGATTTTGATCACTATACTACAAGGCACAACCCCAAATTAAAAACATTAATTAATAAATGAAGTTTGATAATTTTAGGTAATATTGAGGTGAGATAAATGAGCAAGAAGAGGTATGCCTATGGGAGACGATGAGACCATGAGAGAGATGAACTCGCCTGTTGCTTGATGTGAGAGAGAGAGAGAGAGGACTGCCTGAAAAATGTTGACTAAGAGTGAGCTGAGTCAAAGATAAATTGTGAGACAAATAGTGAGCAATGAGCCTGAGAGTTGTGAGAGGATGAGTTGTCGATCGTGAGAATTGCTTGACATTGAGCACATATGGAGTGAGAGAGAGAAGATCTAGAGGATTGGACAACAAAGGTGAGCCGTGAGAAAGGACTTAGACTCTCCTGGACTGAAGAAAGAAGGTGGCGGTGACTGGTGAGGCAGCTTGTGACTTGCGATGAAGATGGTCGATTGTGATGTTAGGGCACAAAATGCCGAAAAAAATCTGTTTTTATACAAATACAATGAACCGTCTGGTTTAATATCTACCCGTATTAGCCTTTTTTTATAAAAACCGCCCAGTTCCTCCGGTTCTTAGGCGGTTCACATGCTTATCTGATCTAATTGCTTACCCAGACCAGTGTAGTGTAGGGTCTAGTTCACCCGTTTCCCAGGTTGACCCACCGGTCCTGTCCGGTTTTAATAACTATGCATATATATAGTGGGGGCTGTGCACAAACAGTATTCATGCACAGATGAAAAAATGAGAAAAAATTGGAAGAGATTAGATAGATTTATATAGGGTGGTTATGGGAGTTAAGGGTGTAGTTAAGTTGCAGTTGATCATGCAATTGAAAAGAAAGTTATGTATGATTAAAGTGAATAAGAAGAAGGATATTATAGTCATTTCTTAGGTGGACACCACATCCATCCTCTCTTTTCATATGTATGCACCCAAACCAAAAATGACCAATATGCCCCTTTGGGGTACACTTATTATAAATGGCACTCAATCACTAATGCACTCAACAGTTTTCAATCTTTTTCTTTTTTTCCTCCCTTAACCTTATTATTTACAATTGTGGAGGGATATCTTACGTTGGAATTGCCGAACATGCAAGCAAATGTATTAAGTGCCTTTAATATACTTGAAGACAGAGTCAGTTTATACTTTCTACAGATTAAATGATCTTGTTACCAAATTTGGCTGTTTTGCCATCTAACTTTGTGCATGTCAACATAATAATTACTAAAGAATTGCCATTGCGAAAAATCTGATTCTCCACTTGCAAGAAGCAAATTTCATGGTTTTGGCTGACACACTTGGTGCACTCTCAATCCTTATCTTTTAAATTGGTTGATGGTCAGTTTGTATCCCACTACATTGGTGCCATGAAACATGGGATCAGAGAGGATCAGGTGTTGAACTTGCCAGTCTTTATCCACTTGAACTCCTTCTGAGTGGCATGTTTTGGCAAGCCCACATTACTAACATGTTCATCCCATTTACATAATGCTTGCAAAACAAAAAACTGATTTCAATGTCAGTAACTCTCTAAATAGTTAACCCATATTTGTCAAATGGAAAACCAGTATCCGTTCCAAACTCATGCTTTTTCCATATTTAATTTGATGCACATCTCCCATGTTTGCTGTTCTATGAGCACCTCTTTTTGGTTCATCATGTATTTATATATATATTTTATCTAAACCCTTTTATTTCTTATGTTTGCTCAGGAGAGTTTTAAAGGACAATTATTAGCATCTGGCAGCAGTAGTCGGCAGCCTGGCCGGAAGCAATTTGTAGATGCAACAAGCTTGAGTAACTCCAAAAGTACTGAGGCATCCACAAGCATATCTGTTGATGATCTTTGTTCTGTTGATTCAGCCTTCATGCCTTCCACTTCAACGGCAGCTGATGTAAGACTTATAACTTTGTGAAAATCTCTGCGGCTTTGGTTACGAAAATATGTTGTAGGGGAAGCAAAAAATCTGATCAACTAAGTTCTAGACTGTTACATGTTTTTTCATTGAGCTTTCTCAACCCCTTGCTTTTAGGAGACATGATAGTGAAGCTCTCTTTGAAAAGATTTTAAGCTTTCCTTCAACAAAACTAATCATGATATTTTGGAAGTTTAATAATAAAAAAAAATCGAGAAGCTATGTTAGAACATTGCTTCCCAAGTTTGAATTAACTGATTACTTTCTTTTTATCTTATAGTTTTCTTCCTTGGAATCATTCCCAGAACGTTATTAGCAACCAGTGCGACCTGTGGTTTGACATAATCATGGCATTTACCAGAGCAATCCCTTCATTTTGGTATGTGTTTTGCAGGTGATGGATTATCCTAAACATCCCTCAGTTTCATCTTCCACTTTGGTAGAATTAACAACTCGTCTTGACTTCTTCAAGGAACGCCGCTCTCAACTGATGGAACAACTCCACAGTCTCGATCTAAACTATGGGACAGCACCTTCACAAGATTTTGTGTATAAAGCGTCATCACCCTCATGGAACTGACCGGAGATGGTGCCTATCAAAGCGAGTTAGCTGGCATCTTGCCATTTGTATATCCTGTGTATCATATAGTTTTATCCCCTTGTAATCCCATGTACTCCATCTGAATGTTTTTTCTGCCTCATTTAACATATCTATTTGTACTCTGAGAGTTCCAAGTCACCTGTCTGGGGAATTGTTCGTTGTTCTTTCATTATTTGTTTCACGGACTTGTAACATAGTGAGCGTTTTCATTTTGGTTGTGTAAAATAGTAGGTGAGGGGTTTAGTTGAAAACTGCTTGGGGGGAACATGCTTCATTCTTTTTGAAATGTACTGTCGTGAGCAGCTACTAGTGTAAGATGAAAATTCGTATCTATAAAATAGTGTTGGTATGTGCAACAGATGAGTGATTAAGAGCATTTTTAATCATAACTCAAATTTGAGTCGAAGTGTTTTTTATGAAAACTTCCGGGAACAAAACCACCCCCCATAAAAAAAAAAAAAAAAAAATGAGAAGGAAACGACCTTCTGGCTTCTGGGAACAATGTGTTCGATTCTATTTGAAAGTTTGTGTGCCTATCAAATTTTGATAGAAAACATAACTACAAATTCATAGAAAGATGCAAATTTACGTACTTTTTTTATCTTCAATAGAATTCTTTCGCATGTCAATGAATAATTTGAGATACATTTGACAAATCTCTTTAGTTAAATAATTTAATGAATTGTCAATATAAAGACTGTTTAAATTTAAATTAAATGTTTATGGATTAAATCAATAAAAATAATATAATGGGAATAAACTAATAAAAATAACATAAAGAGTCTAAGAAGGAGCTTGCGATTGTGAAGACCAAAAAGAAGCAAAGCCAAACATAAAGAGGGGAACGGGCAGGTGGGTCCCATTGCAATGTGGACGAATCAGAAATCGGAGTCGGCCCTGGGCTAGAAAGCCTCATCCACAAGCCATTCTGTCTGTCTCTCTCTGTGGGAGGTATATACACACACGCATGTGTGTGTTTGCGTGCGCGTGTGTATAGTTTGTGAATTTTCTCTTCATCTTCTGTTTCTGTTTTATGGATCAGAGGCTCAAAGCTTGATTGTTTTCTCGAGAATTTGATTTGTGTCCTGATTAATGAATACGCTAAGGTACGTACGTTCAACTTCAGGGTTTTTCTATTTTTTGAGTTGGTTTTATACTTTTTTGATATATGTATATGTGATTGCCCAAACTGTTGGATTTTGTTTTTTCGCGGTCTCAGTGTGTTGAATTGGAGTCTCATATTGTGTTTTAGTGTATCGTTTTTTCGTTGCTTGAGTGTTTTGATCTTAGTGTTTTGATGTTATGCTCTGTTTGGTTCTAAAAACAAGATGGGGAGTGTTTGCTTTGGATTTCCAGTTGTAGTCTTGTTCATACATAGATAAAGTGGTGTTCTTTTGCTGCTGTTGATCGTAACCATGTTTGTTAGATGATGTTGGACAGCTGTTTTAAGAAGATGAGCTCAGAAAATACATGGGAAAGGAAAAAGGAACTTGGATTCGAAATTATTTTTCTTTTCTTTGTACCCATTGGAAAACAAGATAGAAATGTTAAATTATATGATTCCGTATATTCTTATCAATTCCCAACTCTATTTGGGTTTTCGTTTCTAATTTTGTGAAATATTAAGGATATCATCTTCCTACGTTTTTTTTTTCTGTACCATTCTTTTTTCCTTATTGAACCTTTTAAACAAAATGATCTAGAAGAAACAGTACACAAAATTTATATCAGATTTCTTTTGGGGTTGCAGAAGAAGTTCTCTAATCTCGTTAAAGAGTTTGATAGATTATGCAGTGGATAAGTCCCCATTCTGTTGTCATGTCTTTGCTTGTTAGGAATTCAGAAAGGAAACTAAGGTCGTTGTGTAGTATAAAAAACATGGCTTTCTACTTATAAGTAGGGTCTAGTTTTTAAGGCAAAAAAAACTAGACTAGTTTTATGACTAGTTTTATTGCTAAGGGGATTCGAAGGGAGACCTCATTAAAGAGTTTAGGAGTCTATTTCCTTGTTTTCTATTTTGGTTTGAAAACTCAGAGAACATCTAAATGATGTTTTCTCTAGTTTTTGTTTTCATTTCACTTTTTTTGAAAATTTATTTTTAGAAAATGCTAACCAATTAGCATCTCACAAGATTTTATATTTTGAGAACAAAAATTTGGTTTTGAGGCACAAACCGAACACCACCCTAGTGTTGAAGACTAGACCAAGTTTTTATGAAAGGTTATAGGAGATCTTTGCAAATGACAATTATCATATCTCATGCATTTAAAAAAACTTGGCTTTAAATCTAAGTTTGTATGGAAGTGTCCAAAGAAAAGAATTTCCAAATACTGCTGAAACTGATGGTGGTAATGAAAAAGCGGTCGAGGTCAATCACCGTTGAGCTTCCATGAAATCTTATGAAGGGCTCCTGTTATTGAATCTTTGTTGGTCATCATGGAATTGTGTCAAGACATTTAAATCTAACTAAGGTCTCAAACCTAAAAAAAGAGTAAGTTGGATTCTAAGGAGAATTCAAACGATTGGATTATGGTATTAGGAGCTTTACTAGGTAAGAAGAAATATTATTTCGAGTAAAATGGATGAAAGCCAAGATATAACCTAAGAAGCATGGACATTTCATTTTGGTCATTGTCGATGTCGAACATGTCTGGGACACAAACACCCTTCGATCTCACTAAAATGAGTGTTTGATTTTTTTATTACTATAATTTTTTTGACATGTGTTTGACACGTTGGGGACACGTTCAAATTTTGATTTTTCAAATTTTTAGAAACTTCTCAACAAACTTTATAATAAGGAAATTACTTTTGTAATTTTAAAAAAATATGGGTCAAAGATATAATATAAAAATAGTTATAATCACTACATGGACATAGGACACCAATATAAACATAATTTTGTACCCGATTACAAAACTATATACAAAATAGGATACACTTTTTATTTGAAAATAATTTGATGAAAAATATGGTTTTGAAAATGAGGTTCTTTGAAATTAAATGAAAATTAAGGTTATGAAGTGAGGTATTTTTTTAAAATTGAAATTATAGTCATTGATTGTTAGATCATAGATGTTTATGATAAGTGCATAGGTCCAATATTTGATTTTTTTATTCAATAATTTTGTGATGTTAAATTCTTAGAATTATAGAAAAGATGAATAAATGATTTTTATTAATATATATTTATTTTACATATAAAAAATAAATACATTATATTTAGCGTCTCCTTCAGTGTGTCCGTACCTTCCTTTTTTGGAAAATCCCGTGTCGACGTATCCGTGTTCGTATTTCTTAGGATATAAAGAAGGCAATAAATTGGGGCTATCAAACTTTTTTTGGTACAATCTATAGCTTTAAGGAGTTCCAAATGCTATGTTGAGTTGCTTCGGCGAGTGATGTCTTACAAATTCCATTTATGGAGATATAGGTTGAAAATTTTGGGGCTTTGTGAATTAAAGAAAAAAAAGAGTACAAATTGGTATCTACTTCAATATCCAAAAGTATGTGACATAAGATTAACTTTGATTGATTTAGGGTTTTGATGACAATATAGGGAATTTAAAGGTGGATTCCCTAACAACGGTTTCTGTTGCGAAGGCAGTTGAGAATGGTGTCATGTATTATCCGTATATCTGCCCCTTTCTAACTTTATTTTTTGAGATTGTTCATGCTAGTACGGACCAACCCAAACACATCTTTTCCTTGCTGCCATTTTCTTACAACCTTAGTTGCTATTTGGCATGAGAATCCTTGCTCAAAGCCTGGCATATCTCTCTCTTTCTCTCCCTCTCTCTCTCAAACCTAAAAATCTAAACGAGGTAGAACCTAAGCTTTTTACTAATTAGTTTTTTTTTTTACTTTTCTTATTCTTTTTGTTTTTCATACATCTACTTAGCATCCGACCACATAATCTATGACAGCTATCCATATGAAACTCCGATTACTCTATATAAAATTATTTTGTCTTTGTTCATCATTAGTGTCTATCGCTATCTATAGATGGGGAGGAAAACATTTTTTAGTTATTTTAGTGGCGATTTTATTCATTATTTGAAGTGATGTGTGATTAGAGATGACAGTGGACCAGAGGCAAGGCGGGGGGAGTATTCTCCATCCTGTTTCAAAAATATTCGCTCACCCTTGTTAGAGGAGAAAATTTTAATTCCTGTCCCTATTCCGCGAGTAAATTTTGAGCCTTGTCCCCCCTGTCGTTCCTGCCATCGTCCCTGTCTATAACAATTAATTTCTATGATTTAAAAAAAAAAATTATAAAACCTCACAAATGATTCTACAAGAAGGATGAAACTCCATTATATAACAAATGGATAAAAAAAAAAAGAAAGTAAAGTTTTTTTTCTAAACAGAAGAATGTGTGTGTGGGTGCGGTTTGTGATATTATATATAGGTTTTAATAAGTGGGTGGGAGGGTGGATGGGGTTTACATATGTGATAATATATATATATATCACGAGTTTAGCGAGACGGAGACGGGAATGAATTTTAGTTCATCCCCGCACGGGTTTATACGGGTATCCCTGTATATGTCCACTGTCTAATACGTGTAGTCCATCCCTCATCCAAACGGAGTGGGTTTTAGATGAATACCCCTTTTTTGCCGGTCTACTGACATCCCTAATATGTGATGATTGATTGCATCAAGGTTGTGGTTAAATTTGAATACTCTATCCTTAATTGTGTGTGGGTACATCTCTTTTCAGATTGATTTGATTGAGATAAATTTAATCTTTTCAAATGGAATGGATTCTCTTGGTATAGATAAGTTGAACTCATTGATCTCGTGTAACTTATGTAAAGAGAACTTACATCTCATATTGAAAAATTAGGGGTCACCTAAGGTTGGTTTATATGGTTAAGGGACCTCACCACCAATTACTAATTGGTTTGGAGTTGGATAATCTAACATGATATCAAAGTTGGGTTTTGAGCGGTTTGTTTGTTACTTGTTAGACCGACATGCAAGCTCGGGCCTTTGTAAGAGAGGGGGTAAAGGGAGCTTGTGTCCCTCGGTGGACAATTAGAGCTACCCAACTATAAAGCACAAACACTCTCGAGAAGGTGACATATTTGTGTTGGACACCGACATTTTTGGACACATGTTCGATATTTTTTTATCTGTGTCCACAATTAAATGATAAATTTTTAATTTTGGACATGTGTCCGACACTTCTTTAAAACGTGTCTACTAGTAAATAATAGACATGTGTTGAAATGTGATTAACAAAGTTTAAAAATTTGAGAACATATAATTACTAACCCTAGACATGTTAAAGTTTTACTCCAAATATAATAATAAAAATAAAAACTACATAGAAATTTTAAAAAAGAGGAATTGAGAAAATAAGAGCAATTATTTAAATTATATAGTAGGTACACATTGTTTACAAAAAAAAATTGATGATTATTGACTATTATGAGGATGCTTTAGTCTAAAAATTTACATAGATGACTAGACATTAGATTTACTTATCATACAATACTGAATTTTTTATGAATTGCATAGCATTATTAATATATTTGCAATAAATTATATAATGTTATATATAACATATAATTTTTTTTTGTAGTGTGTTCCTACCGTGTTTATGTTCTATTTTTTTAAAAATGTCATGTCGGCGTGTGTCCGTGTCCGTGCTTCTTAGTTACCCAAGGTTGGTTTATATGGTTGAGGTTGAATGCCCTAGCAACTAAGAAAAAGTAACAGCCCACCCTTCCCCCTCCCCATGCCCCACCCAAAAAAAAAAAAAAAAAAGAGACAATATCAAACATTTTGGGCTGATTGGTTGTATGTTGGGGATCTCTTGCACTTATCTGTCGTGACCTTTGGGTTTTCTAGTGATAATATCTCTTTGTTTCGGCCTTACTCAGATTATAGTTGAGGACTCTTCAAATATATTGAGGGCCTAGAGTTTTGAACAGCTTTAGAAGACCAATGTGAGTGAAAAACTTGCTTTATGTTTTCTCTTTTTGTGCAAATAAATTATCAGATCCTAAGGAGAAATGTTTAGCTTAGTTTTGGCCAACATATATGTTTCCTCAGCAACCTGCACCAAGCCTTATGTAATTTTCTGCTCAGACTATACATGTGTACATATTTTTTGTTTTGCTTTATTTTCATTTTTCTATTGCTAGATTTTTCGTTTTTTTATCATAATTTAAACTTGTAGTGTGTTATGAAACTGTGTTATGACAGCGATTTTGTTGAAATTGCTGCTGCTTCTTTTCATGTGATCAGAATATGGCTTTAGGAGCTGAAGATGTGATTTTGCTTAAACTTTTAGATTCAATAGCTGTGTTTGTGACCATATTTAATTGTAGGTACAGGTTTACTCAATTAGTAATGTTTGGTGGCTGAAGTGTATACTGGTGACATAGTGTTTGTCAGCAATGAACTTTGGGTTCCTAGGTAATATACCCTGGAGTGGGACCCATTCAAAGAAGGATATGGCAACAGCAGCCATAAGCACAAGTACTCTTATGGAGCCAGTCAAACAAAGAGCTAATTTTGATGTCAGGTTGTGGGGATTGTCCCTTTTTTCTCTTGTTCCTTGGGCTATTAATGTCAAAGATACAGTTCGAATCCCAGCAACTGTAAACAAAGGGCTGCAAAAGCACGCCCAACCTCATCATGGTGCTGAATATGGTGCTCAGAATTCCGCTGTGCGCTTCAGACCATATGTTTCCAAGGTTCCTTGGCATACAGGTGCAAGGGCATTTCTTTCCCAATTGTTTCCACGTTATGGCTATTACTGTGGACCTAATTGGTCAAGTGGCAAAGACAGAGGGTCTCTTCTTTGGGACAAGCGACCAATGGATTGGTTGGATTTTTGCTGCTATTGTCATGACATTGGCTATGACTCACATGATCAGGCCGAGCTTCTCAAGGCAGACCTGGCATTTCTTGAGTGCTTGGAGAAGCCTCACATGAGTACAAAGGGGGATGCTAGAGTTGCTCATCTTTATAAGACGATGTGCATTTCAGGTATACATATTACATTCTTTACCATAGTTAAAACTTCAAAATACTGCCCCTATTTGAGGTTGCTGTTTATTTATGATCAATATTATTATTATATTATTGTTATTCTGCCCTTACTCGTTCTTCTGTTTGTGACTATTGTTAATTATTATTGTAATTCCCATCTTTTTCTTTGCTATTATTGTTATTGTAATCCCCCTCCCTCTTACATCTTTTCTTTCTCTCTGGATGGGTTGTGTGTGGTTGGGGATTTCGTGTGTGTTTGAATGCAGTGTTTATTTGTCGAGGTTTGATATGTGTACTTACATGCAGGTCTAAGGAACATACTTATACCTTACAGAGAGCACCTTGTGAAGTTACATTCAGGGCAATTATTCACTGGGTTTGGATGGCTAAGCAATATGAAATGGAAAGGATGGAACCTGCAAAAAGCTTGAATACAGATTCATCATGGGATTCAAAGGGTAGTCCGGTAGACTATGTCAAAGTGCCTTTATTGTGGAATTAAAGCAGTTGGATTTCTGACGATCTCTGAACTGATTTTCAAATGTTTTGAATGAGTTTAATATTGTTTGTAGGAGCAGCCTAGGGTAAATGGAAAACAAATGAAATGTTGAGGCTTATTTGGCTTGGTTCAACCTGAATAAGTGTACTTATTATGTATATAGTTGTTTACCTAAATTAATAATGGTTTTAGACTGGGTATCCCAGTATATTTATCTCGCTCATATCTATCATAAGTTGAATATTTAATTTTTTATTAATTTGTGGCTCAATATAATTTTTATTTTAGACATTATTCATATATTATATAGTATATACATGTTGATAATATTTTGAGATTATTTTTAAAAAAAAAAATAATGGGCAGAAATTAATTTTAAATTATGTAATTGAAAAAAAGGAATGAAAGAAAAATTATTATTTGATATATTGGTATTGATTATTTTCATGTTTGAATTTTATATTATATTGTGCCTTCAGGCATGGTTATAGCTAGTTATTTTAACAGAGATTAGTTGTAAACGTAGATGTTTTGAGTTTGAATTTTGACAATTTTTTAGGGTCAAACAATGTGAGGTAGGAAGCTTCAAGTGAACAGAGAACGCCTAGCTAGAACACAAAGTGAGGCGATGACAGGGGAAAAAAGAGTGGAAATAAAGGAAATTCACCAGCAAATTCAAAGTCTTTTGGAATCTGAAGAGACTATGTGGAAGCAGAGGTCGAAAGTGCTTTGGCTTAAAGATGGAGATGGAAACACCAAATATTTCCATGCCCAAGCAAGTAACAGAAAGCAGAGAAATACCATTTCGGGGATTCGTGATAATGAAGGGAACTGGGTCACGGAGAGGGGGCAAATTGTGGAGGTTGCTGTCGATTATTTCAGGCAACTATTCAGTTCTGACAATCCTTCCCATCAAAATATGGACAGTGCACCCCTATGATGAACCAAGAACTGGTTAGAGAATTCCATCCAGAGGTTACGAGAGCTCTTAAACAAATGCACCCACAAAAATCACCGGGGCCAGATGGAATGGGAGTAATGTTTTTTCAAGAGCTTTTACCCTATTCCATGGCTTTTTTGAAACTTCTACTTATAAGAGGATGATTTTCAAATTATTTCTCAAATTCAAGTAGTCTTAAAAATGTCATTACAACTTATGCCTTTAATGATAAAACATTAATTAGAATAATAAAAATGTTAGTTCAAGTAACCATGTAAAACGTCAGTGAAAACGACGTTTTAAAGAAAACGTTGATCCAAATGATGTTTCTAAAAAATGACATTTTATTGACTTGTTTTCCTATTTTTTTTTTATTTCATCAAGTTATTGTTATTTTTTTAAATAAATAAATAAAATTAAACAAAAATTATATTTTAATTATTTCAAAATATTAACATTGAAACGTTTACATTTTATTAATTTTAATTTAACATTCAAACATTTATATTGTGATTGATAACGACAATAATGTCAAACAAAACGGAGTGTATATAAAAATCTAATTTATTCATAACAAAAAAATTGAATATTTATTTCATGACACTTTCCAATTCAATGGATAGGGTAAAAAGGTATCAATAACGTGATTGATGCTCAAAACAGCCTAGAGGATTACAGAATACACATAAACTTGATGGGATAAAAGTGTCTGACACATCATCGTTCATATAAGAGAAATCAAAAAGTTTAGGATTGAAAATAAGTAACGAATCCTCTAAAATTTTAATTTTGGTATATTCAAGATCAAACTACTTTATTTTTGCAGACTCGATTGCATGCAAACAATCTAGTCAATGTTGCATTTGATTGTTTTTACGTTCAAGCCTTGGTATGATTTCGTTATGATTGTTTGAATTCTGTGGATTGTAAATATCACTGAACGTGCTTTCGGTGCTGCAAGTCCATGCCAACGATAAAATACTTCAAGGTCACAACGTTTTTCATATAATTGTCGCCATCTTAGTGTGAGTTCAATATGAGCACATGGAGGCGGATAGTCAGTTGCAGGCCCAACAATTACATGTCCAACTTGACCGAATGAGTGATAAGGGTCGATTGACTTATTGCGAAACTCATGCTTTCGTCCATACCACGTACATCAATGGAATCTGAATGTGATCCAATAGAAGGAACTCTGTTTAACGATGTTGATTTGTCAGTTGAGTGTTCACGTTTGTTGGCAGAAGATGAACTATTTTGTTCATTGCTTGAAGAAGAACCTTCATTGGTTTGATAGTATTTTGTATTTGATGTGCGCTTATACATTTTGTTTTGTATCATTTACAATTTTACATAATTGTGAATGCTAGTATATATTGGCTTGGTTTGACAATTTAAAATAACAGTAAAATGACATCACACCATATAGTTGGGAACTGATTTGACAATGAGAGGATGTGACAATGAAAAAGTTATGATATGACAAAAGACTGATAAAGCTATGAGATTGTTTAACATCTAATATGATATACATATAAACGTTATATGCACAATTAGTTGGACACTGATTACATTTGTTCATTTTCATCAGACATATACTCATATAATACGTATTGTTCATTAGACAATACAATAGATCGCTCAATAGTTGTCAACTCCCTACCAAATGCAGTGGCAATCATGTTAGTTTGCAAATTGGAGCATATAATATCGACACTTGCGCATCATCATCCTTTGATTCTTCTTTTGTAACAACCAAACTCATTAATGTCTATGGCTATTATCAATGGTAGATGGTCTTGATGTAGATATTATAGTCAATACATGTGATATGAACCACTCCTTATTGTGTTTTTATAGTGATTTCAATGGTTGATTGTTACATAGTAAGGTTTTAGTCATTGTGTTCAATGTAGTAATGTGCAGTCATTTATTTTTTTGGATAAGAATATTTATCATCAATGCAGCAGTGTGTACTCACTTTTTTATTTGGGTTGATGGTCACACATTGAAATAAGAGTGCAACTAGTGTGACTATACACTTTTACCTATCAGTGTGACAACACACTGAGACATCACATTCATTGAAGTGCAATGCAGTGTGTTGTCAATTTATTGGTTTGTCTTTATTTCAAATAGTGTTGATGCACTTTATTCATGTTGGCTGCTGAACAAAAAACAGGTACAACATGACAACTGGTTCAATGTCAGTCATTGTGACAACACACTAGTTCAATGTTAGTCGTTATGACTACAACACGCTAGTTCAATGTTAGTGTACTCACATCAATAATGTCTATAAGTTTCAATGCATGTGCAATGTTCAATATACACACTTCATCTCTAACCATGAATTATAGTCTGCGAACAGTGTTTGAAACTCTTGGTTATCATTAGGCATTAGATGATGAGTTCTTCTATCCAATGAATCCTTGCTTACGGTATTCACAAATGACTAGAAACACAATGATGGTGGAATGACAATATCATTTTACGAAAAGAGAAAATCTAAGCTTAGATTTATGTTCTTGCAAAATACGAAGGCCTTGACAAGTTGCCATTGGTATTCCTATTACCACTCCTAAGAAGTAGAGTGAGCATTGTTTCGTATTCGAGCTGAGAACAATCGAATGACAATCCGTTGTAATTGGTATAACCTCTTTCGCATCGCAAGAGACCGTGCTGTAGAATGGAAGATACAAGAAGAAATTTTAAGCTTCCAATTGAATGAGGAAGTTGGATGTATTTCTAATGTGGAGATGTCTGACGAAGATGAAGACCCATGAAAGAGTGTTATGCAACTCATGTATTGTAACATTTAGACATTATTGTCATATGTGTGTTTGTAGTATGTTGCCTTATTATGTTTCTATGAAATATGGTGTATTTCATAACTAATTTGAAATGTAGTAATTAAAGTACAATATATCAAAATATGAACCCAAGAGTTTTTATATACAACACTAATTAACACAATTTATATATAACATAGATAAAAAAAATGGACTACATCCCATAAGGTGATGGTCCGCTCTATCACTTGGGCCGCTGTCCATCAGGAGAAGCTGTAATCTCTAGAGTCATTCCACCATCTACAAAATCATGTGCATGATGGCCAAGACAACAAACTCCATGCCCACCTCTGCCTCGTCTTTCTGTGTGAAAGTGATGGCTCCTGTGTCACTCCCTCAACATGAACCTCATCATCATCAAAAATGTCTTCATATGTGATAGAAGAGATAGGTTGATGGGTTAGCGGTGGGACAGTCTGTAGAATATAAGTCACATCGGGAAGTGATATAGCTGTCTGATCCAGTACATGTGACACATCTCCTGTAACCACTGACTCCTATGAAGGTGTGTATGATGCCGAAAATCTATCCATGTGTGGTGAGGTCAGTGGTGGAACACATGATGTTACTGTAGGTGTCTATGCAAGAGGGTAAGTCGGAGGTGTAGTGGCATGGTCAACAACGGTTAGTGGAATGCAATAATCAACAACCGGGATATATGGCGTAGGTGGACATGCTGCGGTAGTCTTGGAAACATATGAAGTAGATGAGCCTACATATGATGATGTCGAAGTAGTATCCACGACCGATGAGGATGTTTATCCATGTGAGCCTGCAGCTGGCCGTTGTGGAATACATACACCACGCTGGCGTGCAGACACTGGTGCTACAACTGATGGGTGCTGAATATCTGTTTGTGTTTACACAAGTCTACGGTGCTCAAAAATAGATGACAAACAGTTGTAACTGACATCCCTAATCCAACTGATGGCCTCTAAACAAGTCCTCAAATCATGCTGGCCCCTAACAATATCACATGTTGTGTGATATATTAGTGTCGGTGTTTGTTCCTGCATCACCATACACTAATAATTTACAACAATATTACGTAATTTGTGTAACACATTTATTTTAACTGAAAATTAAGCGACGTATACCAATAGCTTGATGATTCTGTCGACCAGTTGGAAATTGACATAA